TCTCTTCCTTGGGTTTTCACAACCCTGCTCTGCCTGATGGTTTTCTTCCTACCTGTCTGGCCACCCCTTCTACGTCTCCTTTGTAGCATCATCATTCTTTTTCCACTCTGCACCCCCTACATGGATGCAGGCCTTTGTCTCAGATCCTCTTCTATTCTCTTATAATCTCTTGGTGATCTCCTAAGCTCTGCTGGGTTCAACTATTACCTCACTCCCTTGAATTCCATTCCCACATCCCCAGCAGCAATACTGGACAGCTCCACCTGGCTATCCCATTGTTCGTGTTCAGTCCTGTGACTCTGTGACCTCATTTGGGTTTTTTTTGGCAAAGACACTGGAGTGGTTTGCCATTTCCTTCTTCAGCTCATTTTCCAGATGAGGAACTGAGACAAACAGGGTTAAGTGACTTGCCCAGAGTCACACAGCTAGTAAGTATCTGAGGCTAGATTTGAAGTCAGAAAGATGAGTTTTCCTGACTCCAGGCCCAGTACTCTATTCACTGCGCCACCTGCCTGCCATAGATGTCCTGTAGACATCTCAAATTCAACAGGTGCAAAACAAAAATCATATCTTTCCTTCTGCAAATTTCTTTCTTCATTTCTGAAGACAACACCATCATCTTTCATCTTTCAAATTACTTGTGTTCCCATCCTCCACGCAGTTGCCAAATTCCTATTCCTAAAGCACAAGTCTGACCATGTCACTTCCCTACTCAGGGGGCTTTCATGACTTCATTTGCCCCCAGGATGTAATACAGACTATACTGTTTCTTTTTAAAGTTCTTGACAGTCCCATCCCAACTACCTTTCCAGGCCTGTTATGTATTATTGTCTTTCACATACTCTATTTCCAGCCAAACTGGTCAGCTGTGTTCTTCCTCCTTTGCACAACCTGTCTCCCATGCCTAGATTACAAGCCATCACCTCTGATTCACAGAATGACTTTCTTGTTGTTGTTAAGTCATATCTAACTCCTTGTGACCCCATTTGGTGTTTTCTTGGCAGAGATGCTGAAGTGTTTTGCTATTTCCCTCCCCAGTTCATTTTACAGATGAAGAAACTGAGGCAATCAGGGTTAAATGACTTGCCCAGGGTCACATACCTAGTAAGTATCTGAAGCCAGATTTGAACTCAGGCCTTCATGACTCCAGGTCTGGCACTCTATCCACTGAGCCACCTAGCTGGTCTAGTCACAGAATGACTATCTTCCTTTAAAATCCATTTCAAGTACTAACTCTTACAAAAAATCTATCCTGATTCCCCTAATAGCTATCACTCTACCCCATGCCCAGAAATCACTCAGTATTTTGCAGTCCCTCTCCTCACCTGAGAAAGTAAGTGCCAGGAGAGGGGGACATCTTTGTTGCACAGAGCAGACACTTAATAAACGCATTTTGAATTTTACTCTTATTGGTTGTTTAATTATATTTTATACCAAATGTCTTTTCACTTGATATTCCTTCCAAATATTTGCATTTGAAGCCATTGTACTCTGGCCTTAAAGTGCTATACAAAGGTTAGCTATTAGCTTGTTATTATCATATCTCATATCCACATCACCTTCCCTCTCCCAATCATTTTTTCATCATTGCATCATCTCCCCCACCCCCCACCCCCCAACCCCCCGCAGTTAGCACAGGGGTACGTGGCAAGCTAGACAAATATGAATGGGACATGGAATTGCCTATTACTAAAGTTTTCCCATTCAGACAACTCCATGAAAGGACCAGATAGTACACAGAGGATTGGTCTAGAAGTCAGAGGTCAGTTTTGACATCAAGACTTTCCCCATTGAGGTTTCGATATGTCACAGGTTGGCATAAGAAATTAAATGGGAGTTTGGGGGAGTTTTGCAGAAAACACAGACATTAGAAGGCTAACAGATGACACAGAGCCTACAATCAAACACTTAACCCAAATTTTACAATAAGGTACTGCAAACAGCCTACAGAAGAAAAAGAAAAAATTCAGACTTCTTCTCTGATACTGAAGGGAGGGCCAAAAAATTTTATGTGGATTTTCCAGATCTTGGGGGGTACCATGCCCCTAACCCCTGTGATGTGAAAGGGATAATTATATAATTCAGAGGTAACCATTCTGGTTTAGAGTAAAAAAAAAAAATCTGAGTTGAAATCTTGTCTTTGCCGATGATTAACTGTCTTGGCTTTGACAAGTTGCTTTATCTTCACTGCTTAGAACAGTGCCTGGCATATAGTCAGAGCTTAAGAAATGCTAGTTAAGTGACTGACTCTCTTTACATCTGAGTCTGTAAATTGAAGAATTGGGCCAGATACCCACTGAGATCCTTTCCAGCACTAAATCTATGATTCTATGAAGTGAGTTCTAGACCCAGCTCTGGCACCAACTGGCTGTGTGACCCTGGGCAAGTAATTTAATCTAACTGGAGCTCAGTTTCCTTGTCTGTAAAATAAGGGGTCTGGGACGAGATGATTTCTAAGATCTCTTTCAGCTCTATGACTCAGAATTTTCATCTAGGACTGTCTTCCCCTATCTCCTAAGTAAATATTGTCTTTGTAGCTGTAATGGCAGGGCTTCCACATGAAGGTCAGTCAGGGAAACTTTTATCTTTGTAGGATGGAGGAAAAAGTGTTAAGACAGGAATAAGGAGAACTTTCCCCACCCATAGCTCTATCCCACAATTATTCCTTGTTCATGGCTAGAGTTTTGTTGCCCTTTAGTTATGTGACCTTGAGTAAGCTACTTAAACTCTATTATCCTGTTTCCTTATTCTGTCAGATGGGAATAATATCTGCCTCCTTAAATTATAGAACCATCTTAGGAACTTCAAAAGACACAGTATAAAAGTACTTGAAAAGTGTTAAGGGTTGGAATATCTCCAATAGCACCAATACTTTGCATACACAATAACACATTCAGATGCAACTTCCCTCACAACTCTAGGATTACAGAGATTTAGTGCATAAATGTGTGCATACATAGATACATATATGTATATATACACACATGTATATGGAATATATGTGAATACATGTAAATGATGATGCGTGTAAATGATACATGTAAATAATTTGTCCTTTCCTCAGTTTGGGAAAACATCTTCTATCTCTAAGATTTAGTACCTCAGCAAGCTGTCTGAAACACACAGAAAGGTGTGAGTTGCAGAATTGCAACCTGAGTCTTCCAGACAAGGAAATTGAGGCCCAGTGTGGTTAAGTGAGCTGGTGGCAAGGGTGCCCACTAGGATATGAGTTCAGGTTTTCCAAATCCAAGACCAGCGTTCTTTCCACTCCACTCCTTCATGTATGTCCCAGACAGAATTAACTGCTGTAAAACCTCTGCAATTTGCTGTTGATTTTTTCCCTGACCATTCCATCTTCTGCACAATAAAAATGACCACAGCCTCTAGAATATAGAAATAACAATAGACTTAGAGTAAATAACAGCTGACAATTATATAACACTTTACGGTGCTTTGCATTCTTTGGCCATTTGATCCTTACAAAAATCCTATGAGATAGATGCTTCATCTCCATTTTACTGATATGGAAACTAAGGCTCAGAGAAGTTAGGTGACTTGGCCAAGGGCACACAACCAGTATCTATCTGAGGTGGAGAATTTGAACCCTTCCTGAGGCCAAGTCCAACACTCCATCCACCATGCCAGAAGTAAGTAAAGCTCTATTTCAAAATTCCTTCATCCTTCCTTTTCTCCCCTTACAGGATTTAAACTATATAACTTTAGGTAAGGTCTGAGATACTTAAGATGCAACCTATCATCTTCCACACCAAGGGGATACATGCAATTGCTCTGACAACTTTTAAAATGTTTCAGTATTCTCCCTCAGTCCTTGGTTAGAACTTGCCTTCCTTTCCATTAGAAGTTAAAACAAGCTCCTTGAGGGCAGGAGGAGGAGGAAGAGGAGGAGAAGGAAGAGAAGAAGAAAAAGAAGAAGGTGGAGAAAGAGGAGAAGGAGGAGGAGGAGGAGGAGGAGGAGGAGGAGAGAGACAGAGAGACAGAGACAGAGAGAGACAGAGATGCATCTAGGGTACCCCTGCCCACTATTCAGACTATGGGAGAACTCTTGGGTGTGAGAACTCCCTCCACCAATGCCTATTGAAATCCTCTATGACTTAAAACAGTGGCTACAAGAAAAGTCACTCGCTAGCCCTTACATCATGCTACTTTCTTCAGTTAAGTCGCTATACCATATTCTGATTACTGATAGTGAGTCCCACATGCCCTTTCTGCTTTTTACAAGGCAGTGACTCTTCCTGTCCCACCCCCCCCCCCCGCCCCCAACCCCAGCCTTTCAGTCTCTTTCAAGGCACCCAACCCCCAGGTCCTGTGGTGAGAACCTCTAGCCACCACCACTTCTCAAGACAAACTCCCCGCAAGGAAGGCGCGGGTGTTCATTTCATCACAACAGGAAAGAATGCCGGAGCAGAAGATAATAGAACCAAACAAAGCCCCGGGACAAGTACCCCAGCATCTTCCAACAAAACCCAGAGGAGGAGGTCCAGGCAGAGGAAGCCAGAAGACACTCTCAGAGATAGACGGATTCCTTCCATCCTCCCCCAAAACAATCTGAACCCAACTGCTGATAAATAGCTGTGCCCTTTGCTAGCTAGAGGAAGGAAGAGCCGCAAAGACAACGACACAGCTCTCGTTTCTCTCTCTCTCTCTCTCTCTCTCTCTCTCTCTCTCTCTCTCTCTCTCTCTCCCTCCCCCCCTCCCCCCCCCCCCTCTCCCTCTCTCTCCCCCCCCACGTCGATCTCCCTGTGTCTGTCTCTTTCTGTGTCTCTGTCTGTCTCTGCGTCTGTGTGTCTCTCTGTCTTTGTGTCTCTGTCTCTGTCTCAGCAGTTTCTCAAAGTTCTCTCTGGCCTCTCCATCTAGGGAAAGCTGGTGGGAACGTTCCTCTAGGGCGGTGAGGGGGAGGAAAGGAGAGGAGGGAGGCTGACTTGTCTCAGAGATGGTGGCGAGTGTCGGTAGGATTCAGGTCAGATCCATTTCTCTCTTACCCTCCATGAGCTGCCAGCCGCCGTGTCTTCCTCTTTCCTTGGTTTTCGAGGGCTGCAGGACTGTGCTCAGCCTCAATGAGAGGTGATCATGAAAACTTAGCTTCTTATAATCAGCTCTTTGGTTCGTGGGAGGGGCTAAATCAGTTTCGGGAGGAACCTGGAAGCTGGGGGTCGCCCTGGGTCTTTTTTCATTGACGCGAGAGAACAAATTGACTCAGGAGAGTCCAGGAGACAAAAAAAAAAAAAAAAAAAAAAAAAAAAAAATCTCCTGGAGCCAAACCGAGGCTCCATGGAATTTGTAGTTTTTATTTGGAAATCTGCAGCTCCACGATGTTCCATCCTTCTCTTTGGAGGAGTCACCGGAGGTCATTTGCAAAGAAATTTTGCGCATTCCAGATCTGAAGTCAGATAGCAGAGGACAAACCCTCTGGCCTCTCCTGGATAGCTTTCCTGCTGGGTAATTAATTGATTAATTTGCTTTTCAAATTCATTGGCAGCGCAGTGCAGGAGAACCGGCGCTGGACTGGGCGACAGAAAGGATCTGGCGCTGCTTCTCTCTTTCGGCATTTTTATAGGTGTCAATTTTTAACTAGCACTTATTAAGCTCCTATTATGTACAAGGCACTGTATTAATAGCTAGGGACATAAAGAAAAGCAAAAAATAGTCCCTGCTCTCTAGGACCACAATCCTAGGACTACCTTATCTGCAAAACACTCAAACTCCGAGAACCTCAGTTCCCGCCTGGCAAAATGAGATGTTTGCAAAAATGTTAAACAAACTTCAAAGTGCTTTATAAATGTCAACTTATAGAATCTTTTCCCTGATTGGTGCAGTACTTCTTATGTGAGCAATGGTCTTATTGTCATTGCATTAGTTATTATAATACAATAGTAGTACTATAATATCATAGTACTACTGCGGATAGCCTTCTGGGCTTGGAGTCAGGAGACACGGGTTTCAATTCTGCAACTCATATCTGTCTTTGTGTTTCAGACAATTTGCTAGGATGTTGTGAATTTTAGAGATAAAAGGTGTTTCCCCAAACTGAGGAATTGGCAAATTATTTACATGTATTTTTTGTTGTTGTTGTTGTTGTTGTTAACAACAAAAAAAGTAACACATCTTAAAGTGCTTGAAAATTTGTAAACACTTTGCTCAGGGCAAACTTGGGAAGTAGGTATTGAAACTATTATAATTCCTGTTTTATGGATGAAGAAACATGCTCAGAAATTTTAATTGATTAACTCGAATTAAGTATTCGAGTTTCTCAGAGGGGAAAGAAAAGTTTTTGTCAGAGAAAAATGCATGTGAGGAATAGATGAGTCAGAAACTGAATCCTCAATTCTTGCACCATCATTTAATAGAACTTTATTTAAGCAGTCCACCCTCCCTTGAGCTTTCATTTTTCCCTCTTCAAAGGTTCAAAAATTTTGAGAATAAATGTCATAGTCAGAATAACTCAAACTCTAAGGTTAAATGTGAGCCTAAGGGTTAGCACCCCAAAGGCTTTTAAAATGTGTGTGTGTACACATATGTGTGTATATGTGTGTACATATATACATTTATATATATATATATATATACATATATATATATATATATTCACATACACACATACTTATTTCTATACCTGGTAATGGGGACTAGAGCTAGCAATGAGTGAGCTAAGGACTGTCTCTGAAAGAGGTAGGGAGGCTCATTCACTCTAGACAAACTCTTTCTTTAATTATCATAAATCATCAAAATCTAGAGCTAGGACTTTAAATCATCTGAGCTAACTCCTTTATTTTACAGTTGAGTAAACTGAGGGTGAGATAGGAAGTGATCTGCCCAAGATCACACAGCTACTCAGTGGGAAAAACAGAAACTAGAAGTCCTGGCTCCCAGTCTGCTGTTCTTTTGACTACCCCCACATTGTCTCTCCATGATGAGAATTTGTGTCCATTAAGTAAATCAAGATTTGTGGATTCAATTCAATTCAATAAGCATGTATTAAGATGCTATTATGTGCCACATTGGAGGCTGCTTGGTTTAGTGGATAGAGAGGTGGGTGGCCTCTTTACAGCAAGTTTCTCTGATAAAGGTCTCCTTTCCAAGAGACATAAGTAATTGTTTCAAATTTATAAAAATAAGAGTCCTTCACCAATTAATAAATGGTCTAAAGATAAGAAAAGACAAGTTCTCAAGGGAAGAAATCAAGGCTATCTAGAGTTACATAAAAAAATATTCCACTAATCAGAGAAAGGCAAATTAAAATAATTCTGAGGTTCCTCATCTATCTGATTAGAAAGTATGGGGCAGCTAGATGGCACAGTGGATAGAGCACTGGCCCTGGATTCAGGAGGACCTGAGTTCAAACCCAGCCTCAGACACATAATACTAGCTGTGTGACCGTAGGCAAGTTGCTTAATCCCCATTGCCAAAAAAAAAGACAAAAAAGGAAAATGACAGATGTTGGAGGGGCTATGGGAAAACAGATACATCAAAATTCACTGTTGGTGGACCTGTTGAATGGGCACAACCATTCTGGAAAGCATTTTGGAATTATAGTAAAAAAGTTACTAAGCCCTTTGGTACCATTGCTAGGCCTACACACAAAAGACATCAAAGAAAGAGCAAAAGGTTCTATATGTACAAAAATATAGCATCTCTTCTTGTAGTGACAAAAAAACCCTGGAAACTAAAGGGATGTCCATCAACTGGTTGAATAAACTGTGATATACAAATGTGGTAGAATATGATTTTACTATAACAAATGAGGAAATAGATGATTTGGAAAAAGACATGGAAAGATTTGTATGAACTGATGCGAAGTGAAGTAGAACCAGAAGAACAATTTATGCTATAATATCAGTATGATAAGAATGAATAATTTTGAAGACTTTTATAAGTTGACAAAGAATGAAATCAGAAGAATTAGAAGAAAATTTTATACAATTACAATGCTGCAAAGACAGACAACTTTGAAAGCTATAAGAATTATAATCAATGAAATAACCATCTGTGATGTCAGAGGAACAATGATGGAACATATTATCCACTTCCTGACAGATTGGTGATGAATTTAGGGTGCAGAATGAGAGAAATATTTTTATATTCAGCAAATGAGGGGATTTATTTGGCTTGACTATGCATATTTGTTACAAGGAATTTCTTTTCTTTTTTTAATGGACTGGGGAGGAGGGAGGGAGAGAAAATAGATTTCTGTTCATTAAGAAAACACCTAAAAATAGAATGGTGGAGGCAGCTACAGGTATGGAATATTGCATGCACTTTCAGATGAGGTTACTATATTTTTAGTTTTGATTAATAGTTTTACTTTGCCACAAGCTACCTCTCACAGAATGAGGGTGATCTTTAAATGTACTGTTAAAACAAAATTGATCAATAAAACATTTAAAAGAGAAGTGGCCTCAGAGTTTAGAAAGAGCAGGTTGCTAGTCTGGCTAAGGTATGAGTGACCCTGGGAAAGTCTCTCAACCTCTAAGTGCCCTTAGGCACTCCTCTGAGACTATAAATTACAAAACAGGTGTGGATCTGCTTTGGTAAAAATTCCTCACCTAGAGTTCCCTACACTATGAAATTCAGCTTTTAAAGAGGGATAAAAATTATGCTAAGCACTGGAGATGGGGTGGGGTAGGGGAATAAAAGGAAATTATTCGTGCCTTCAAAGATCTTGCATTCTTTTGGAGGAGGGAAGACAAGATATCCATAACAATATAAACTATATATATATTTATGTATATGTGTGTATATATTTATATGTATGCATGTGTATATATTCACACACATATATACACATGTGTACATATATGTTATATATAGGTACAGTTGCCTTAGAGCATTATCTATGTATTCTTTATACATGTGTGTGTGTATACATGTATGTGTGTATGTATATATATATATACATACACACATATATAGTTCTCTGAGGCAACTGCACCAACTCCCATTCAAACTGATGAGCTGGGTCTCCATAGTGTGTTTACTAGCTCCCCTCAAAGTTCCCCCAAAGGAATTGATTTTTTTTTCCTTGATAATTATTTTATTTTTTAATTTCAACATTCACTTCTGTAAGATTTTGAGTTTTAAATTTTCTACCCCTCCCTCTCCTCTCTTCTCCTCCCCATCAAGATGGTGTGCCATCTGATATGGGCTCAACATATACATTCGTATCAAGCATATTTTCCCATTAGTCGTGATGTAAAGAAGAATTAGAACTGATGGGAGGAATCATGAGAATGAAGCAATAAAACAAAACAAATGTAGAGGAGAATAAATAGTATGCTTCCATCTGCATTCAGACTCCATAGTTCTTTCTCTGGATGTGGGTAGCAATTTCTATCATGAGTCTTTTGGAATTGTCTTACTTAGATCCTTGCATTGCTGAGAAGAGCTAAGTCTATCAGTCAGTTATCACACAATGTAGCTGTTACTGTGTACAACATTCTCCTGGTTCTGCTCATTTCACTCTGTACCAGTTCATGTAAGTTTTTCCAAGTTTTTTTTTTGAAGTCTGCCTGCTCATCATTTCTTATAGCACAATAGTATTCCTTTACATCCGTATACCACAACTTGTTCAGCCATTCCCCAATTGATGTGCATTCCCTCAATTTCTAATTCTTTGACACCACAAAAAGAGCTACTATAAATATTTTTGTACATGTGTGTCCTTTTCACAGTTTTATGATCTCTTTGGGATATAGACCTAGAAGTGGTATTGCTGGGTAAAAGGGTATTCACCATTTTACAGCCCTTTGGGCATAGTTCCAAATTGCTCTCAAAAATGGTTGGATCAGTTCACAACTCTACCAACAATGCATTAGTGTTCCAATTTCCCCACATCTTCTCCAACTTTTATCATTGTTCTGTTTTGTCATGTTAGCCAATCTGATAGGAATGATGTGATACCTCAGAGTCGTTTTGATTTGCATTTCTCTAATCAATAGTAATTTAGAACATTTTTTTCATATTACTATAGATAGCTTTAGTTTCTTCCTCTGAAAACTGCCTGTTCATATCTTTTGACCATTTATCAATTGGGGAATGACTTGTACTCTTATAAATTTGACTCAGTTCTCTATATATTTTAGAAATGAAGCCTTTATCAGAGACACTGGTTGTAAAAATTCTTTCCCAGTTTTCTGCTTTCCTCCTAATCTTGGATGCATTGGCTTTGTTTGTGCAAAAATTTTCAATTTAATGTA